TATTTTATATAAAAAAACATTTTTGTTTTTTAAAAAATTTCATCTTATATTTTTCAAAAACGCCGTACTGTGTCCTAAGTCCCAAGTTAAAAAAAGTCAAAATACCGAATTCTGAATAATCGGGGCTCTTTAAAACAAAGTTAAAAAGACAAGGGTTGGTTTTTATTAAATAATGGTTTCAGTAAATTTAAAATAAACTTTTTGATGGCTATTCAAATTTAATGTTTGAATAAAACAGAATTGTTTTAACTTGTCTTTTAGATTTTTTGGGGGCATTATTTTTTAGTTGGTATTTTAAAAAAATAAAAATGGCAATTGTTTTACTTCGGTTTTTTATTTGATAAATGAAAAATGGATAATCTGTTGTTCTTGGTAATAAAATAACAACCACATTGTTAATATAACAGTATAATTTGATACCTTGTTGTTGCTGGAAATGGTTTTGTAGTAACTATTACACCTTTAAAATATGATTTACGGGTTGATGTACAATCATAATTAAAACATAAAATAATAATTATCAATTGTTTTTCAGACTTAATTAAACAGACTTTTAGTGTTATTATATTAGTTAACATTATGTCGCGTTTTACAACAAACTTGATAATCAAACAGAAGATGTTTATTTATTTCATGTGAAAGATGTATTTGAACCAATTGTTGCACCACTATCCATGTTTTCAATTGTGTTTGACAGTCAACATAAAAAGTTTTTATTCAATATTTACTATTGAACATATGTTTTATTACAAATATAAAATAAAATAATAAATAATAATTATATAAACTTTGGTAAATTTGTGAAAGAAAAATTTTTTGAAATAAAATTTTATATTTTTGTAAAATATGTACAAAATTTTGATTTTTGCCGTTATTTTAGTTTTTGTGTGTTTTTTGATTAATAAAGAAATTGAAGTATAACCAAAAATAATTTGGATTTGTGCTATTTATTGAAATCACAATGTAATCGAGTTATTGAATCTTGCCACGTGGGGACTTTTTAATTCACTGTGGTGACTTTTCGAATAGTAAAGAATATTCAATACGAAAATTTGCAAAATGGTTGCATACTCAACACTTTTTACATAAAATCATTGTGTTGGGTAATAACGAGCTTAAAATCACAAAAAGCACAGAACAAATATCAAAGTGGGTATCTGAAGAATGTCCAGAAGCTATTTTATTAATCAATAAAAGTGTGTCTTTTGACAACTTTGTATTTTATGGAGCAAAATGGAACTTTGCTGGCGACGATTCTTTTCAACTCGATTCAACAAAAACATTTGTATTTTTATCACATCAACCACCTTATAATATAATGGATATGATGTCAGTTGCGCCATTCTCACCACCAACATATCATGGTGGATCACACCAAATATTGTCATTTATCACTAAATATAAACCAAAGTTGGTCTGTTTCGGACATACACATAACTGTTTTGGTGTTGTTAAGGACGAAACCACCACTTACGTAAATGCAACATTCGTAAACGAATTAAGTATTCCAATTAAAGGTCCTGTGTTACTTCAATACATAAATGGCGAATTTACAAGAAAAGAGTACAATGTGTTTAAAACAATTTGATATATTTTATTTGTTTTTTATTACAATCAAACCTCAACATTTTCCAAATCAAACATTTTAAGATTTGTCATAATTTGAAATATTAGGTTGAAATTTATGATCTCATTTTTGTTGATAATCATAAGTAATTATTTATGTGTTTTTTTATTTGTTTGCGTGTTATTAAAACGTAAAAGCCAAACATATAATATTTTATTTATTTTAACTCAATTGTAAAATAAACCAACTTTCGATTACTTGCATTTTTCCAAAAAATTTCTAACAACCAAACAGATCTTTGAAACTGTTGAAGTTTGCAAAATGTCAAGGTTGGACAGTATTATTTTTTAAATACTAATACAACATTGACTCTAGATTGAAAATAAAAAAAATCAAAGAGTTCCAAAAATAAAACAGTAAAGACTTTAGAACTACAGATTATAGTTATTTTATAGTTTTTTATTGAAAGCTTCTTCGTCAAAATAACAACAATTTTCATAATTTAAAATACAACTGTATATTTTAAATAATAACCATCATTAACAAAACTAATGATACAGCTTGATGGATATCACATAATGGTTGTCTCAAAGTACTTTATATCAATACATGATTTTATCAATATCGAAATGGTCTGTAAGAAGTTTAAAGACAATACGATGAAGTTTCATTTTAATCCAATTCCACTAAACAAAAAAAATATAAGTTATTTTCTAAATATAGAAACACTTCATTTGTGGTCAAGAGAAGATGAAAATTTTGGAAATGTTATTAAAGATCATAATACTTTTGGTCTAACACGTGTTTTCAAATCTTTATTTTGTATAAAGAAACTATTCAGAGTAGTTGTGTGGTTTAATGTCGACTGTCGAACAGTTTCCATGAACAACAAAAATTTTGTATTCAAAAACGTGACATTTACTGAAAATGATTTAGAACTGTTCGGTGAAATACCAAAGTCAATTAATATCACATCCATTGGAGATAACTGTTATCGTGGGGCAACCAATTTAACCACTTATCATATACCAAGTGGTGTAACATCTATAGAAGATTATTGTTTTTATATGTGTCATAATTTGAAACAAGTCGTTATTCCAAACACAGTTCAAGTAATTAAAAAAGGTTGTTTTGATATGTGTTCAAGTTTAACCAAAATCGTTTTACCTCAAAACATTACGACACTTCCCGAGTGTTGTTTTAATCAATGTAGCTCTTTAACAAGTTTTGAAATACCAAGTCAAGTGATTTCCATTGAAATTAAGTGTTTTGAAAATTGCACCAATTTAAGAGAAGTGTCACTACCAGAAAGTGTCACTAAAATTGGCGATCGCTGTTTCAATCGATGTTTCAAATTGAACGAAATTGTAATACCACACTTTGTTAAAGAAGTTGGTGGGATGTGTTTTGGCACGTGCACTTCTTTGAGTAAAATAACAACACCTCCTCTGTTTAAAATCTTCAAATATATGGACGATTCTGAAAGAGTTACTGGGTATGGAGTTATATGTGGAGTCGATGAATTGTTTCAAATTGATCTTCCTTCGACTGTCAAAGTAATCAATAACATAAAATTTAAGTGCAGCTCAGAATTAATTGGTATAAAAGTGCCAGAACATATCACCGCACTTCATAATTGTTGTTTCTGTTGTTGCAATAAATTAACGGGAATAACAATACCATCGAGTGTAAAGTCGATTGGCAACAACTGTTTTGATACCTGTATAATATTGGAAGACGTTGTTATACCAGAAAGTGTCAAATCAATTGGAATGAGTTGTTTTAGTCGTTGTAATATTAGTTCTATCAATTTGCCATTAAATATTACAACACTTGAAAATTACTGTTTCCAATATTGTTGTAAGTTGAGCGACATTACTATTCCGCAAAATGTGGTGTCTATTGGAGAAAACTGTTTTGAAGGATGTGAAAATTTAAGTCACATTGAAATACCAAAAAGTGTTTCTGAAATAGGAACAAGTTGTTTTTACAAATGTTATAAATTGGACTTTAATGATATTCCTGTTCAATTAAGATCTGAAAAAATATTTACTTCTAATTACATCGAAATAGTTAATTGAATTTTTATTTTTGTGTTGTATAATAAATTATATTGTGAAAAATATTACTGATGATTATAAATAAAGACCATGAGAAAATGGTCCTACGCTAATGGTTTTAATATTAAACAAACTGAAAAACATGATTAAATTTTAACACATAAAAATGAATGAATGAATAATCAAAAAACAAGTTTTAAAAAATTAAAACTAGAAATTATACAAAAAATATTATAAAACTGAATGTACGACTATAATTTGGTGCTCTTTATATAAATTATTTGTAAAAGTGTTATTTTGTATTATGTTGATTAAAAAGGTAAATAATATAATAAAAATTGATTTATTTATTTGGTCTGTTATATAAATTAATAATGTACTTTTTTGTACAATATTAAAATAGCTCTAAACAAAGACGAAAAAGAACTTAAAAATGATCAAAACGTCCAAGTAATTTAAGAACGTATTTTCCAACTTTCTTTTCAACCTCCAAATTTTTAATTGAGTTTCTAAGACCAATAATTTTACCAATTGTGTGTGCCTTTATGTTTTCAAAGGTCGAATCTTGATATCCAAATGTGTATAAATGCTTTGCGACCAAAGATGTAACACATGTGCTGTACATTTCCAAATTCACAACAATTCCCAATTCAAGTTTCTCGAAATTCATATTTAAAAAAATTGCTTCCTCTACATTTCCAAGTGTAAGTGATACCTTTGTGTTATCACTAAATTCTGGTTGCCTCAAATCAAATGATTTAATTACGAAGAAGGACAAGTCGGCATTTCCAACATATCTACTGTATTCATGCGTTTTAAAATACCATTGTAATTCACTTCTTTAGCAACAAATTCACACTTCACGTCTTATTCATCACTCTCAACGATAAAATCAAAGGGGTCATAATTAGAAACATTAAAACTTTGTATAATTTATCCCAATTTAACACCATTTTATCAGTAATTTCAACACTGCTTGGACTTGTTTTGTGAACGACAGAAACACATGTTTTCTGCGTATCAGTTAATGAAAAATCATTCAATACAGTGTTGTTAATGACAAGCGCCCTTCCATTGTAATTTTTAATATCAAGCATTTCTAAAACACAGTCGTCCAAATACACATCACCATACACGTTTTCTATAGTTACTTGTTTGACACTTTGGTGTAACACAATTTTCTCAACAATAACGTTGAACATGGAAATTGTACGAATGGTTGTGGTCTCAAAATTCAAAATTTGTCTGTGATGTGACATTTTTCTTAGATATCTTCTTTGAATAGTTTGAATGTCATCATTGTTGTAATTTTTGAGAACAACATTATTGAGTAAACACTTGTTGATAATTTCGGTGACTGCAACATCACATTTATCGCAATATGAATCTACCAGAATTTGGTCGCGGTTTAATACATCACGAGAAAAGTGTTTATCATTTTCATCAAAATCAGAGAAATGTGTAACAAAGACATTATAAAAACTATTTTGTAGAACACCTATTGGGATGAAATCGAAATCGAAAAAATTAGTATAAATGGTGCAATAAATTTTGACATTTCTATACTGCAATTTATTTTATGTCACTTTAGAATTCTCTTTTATATCATCCAGATCCATTTCGATTACAATAAAGACGTAATCTGTTAATGGGTGTTTCGAATAATCGAACTTGGAAAGGACCTCCAGTTGACTTGCATAAATTGTCAAAACGACTCTCCTCAAAGTCCTGTGACCAATCATTTCGAAAAGTCGATCGTTTGAATTTGCTGAGAACATTGAAAGGTCAACAAATAGATCTTGAAGATTCTGAAACATCTCTACATCGCTTGTTAAGCAGTCCAAGTTGTAAAATTTGATTCGAAGTTTTCTGATCTTTTCAATAGTGTTTTTTCGATTGAATTGTATAACAGAAAAAGTTTTTGAACACGACAAAAAGTCGATTTCAAGGTGTGTCACGTCTGTCTGCAATTTTCTGTTTTTGGTGATCAAGTCTGTCAAATATAATGTTTGAAGCGCTGGAAACAATTTCTGTATTTTTTCCACAGAATTGTAATATGACAGTTTGTATGGGTTAATATACATCGAGTCGACAACATCTTTGCACTTTTTGTTCATACAAATAAATGATATTATATCACTCGTAGTGGCCATATAAAGAACAACATTTTTGATGTACACCAATTCCAATTGAGTCATATATTAAACAGATGTTATATGTTTTATTATATATACTAGTTTGTTTTTTTAATAAAATAAATCATTTAATCGTATTTTTTTAGAAATGAGGTTTAATTTCAATAATTATTTTTATTTAAACAAAGCAATTTATTATTTATTTTGCTTGATTATCACTTTAAATAACATTAAACAAAATTCAAATAAAGTATTTTTCGGGAAATCTCGAGTTTATTTAATAAATTTCCAGTTTTTGAAGTAGTTATTATTTGCATTACATTACACAAGTTAAAAGGGAAAAATCATTTGAAATTGAATTAATATCCTAGTAATAACAGGCTAACAAAAAAACAAAGCGTTATTTTAAGTGTTAAAAATCGTTACGTTTATAAATATAAGTGTTTGTATCATTTTATACAATTAAAGTTTTTAACACTTTTGAAAAAATAACCCAAATAATAAACAAAAATTATTTTTATTTGGTTTTATAAATAATAAACTAATTTGTCTTTTAAACCTATTGACATAATTTCCCAAATTTAAGTCGTAATTTCCCAATAATTTATTTGGTTCCATCTTCAAATTTTATTATTTGTCTACTTTTTAAAACCAAACATACCGAACTGAAAAATATTCTCTCTAAAATTTAAAAAATAATTTGATATATAAAAAACATTTTGCCAACAACATTAGTATGTTGTTGGAAAACACTGCATCAACTAACTGTTGTTTAAAATAGCAATACACACCAATGTTTTTACTTGTAGTCCCCTCAAGTCGATAAAGACTGAGTGATACAGAGCATTAAAAAAACTTTGTAACGCATTCAAACAGTCCGTTTGTGCACCGCTTACATTTTTTTATTTCTTTTCTTGGTGCAGACCCAGGGAAGAAAATTAATGATATGATATGAAAATCATAAATCGTAGATGAAATGTAAAACATTTATAAATTATTATAAAAAAATAAAAATGAATGTAATGCATTTCGACTTTACTTTCAGCAACTTAAGAACGACTCGATGTAATCTTTTTTCTTTTTCATATCTTCGGATTCGGTCTGTATCCTCTCTCTGTCAACATTCACTGCACATCTGTTTTCCCCGATACATTTTACCTCCAGAATACCAAATGTATTAATTTTAACTTCGCATTCGAACAACTCATTTTTGGTCTTTTTCTGAATGTTATAAATTACGAACACGCCGATTTTCTTCTTGTTTTCATACAATTCGACAATCACGTCATTTCTAATGGGAAAAACGGGGAACGTGTTACTAAAAGGAATTTTTGTTCCCTTTTCAATAATTGGTACCACCACCTTCTTGTTAGTACTATCCACTCCGCTCATTTCAATTTCGTTACATGTAATTTCATTCACATTTGTTTCCCCATGAAGTGCCATATTGCGACAATATAGAGCAGCTCCTTCAGCTACAACAACATTACAGTCGCAATCCTTTAAAACTATATTGCCGTACTCTTTCTCAAGTAGCGTTTGCACATACGGCATTTGTGAACTGCCTCCTACTAACAGAATTTTAGTCAACTTGTTCTTTGGCACTTTGGATTCTAAAAGTGTTTGTGCGACAAGATTTAAACACCTCTGGAAAATATTTTTGCACCCAATTTCAATGTCTTCTTTTGAAATTGCTATGTTCGGTGTTTCAACATCATCGTCAATATCAACTCCACAATAAAACTCTGACAAATTAACAACACTTTGTTGCGCTATTGAGAGAGCAATTTTCGCCTTTTCCACTAATTTTCGAAGTCTATATTCGTGTCGTTTTAATATCTTTTCGTTGCTTGGAGTGAGCTTCTTACCAACAAAAAAGACGGCATTAAATCTATTTTCATCTTCTTTTTTCCACCTCATTTTGACTATTTCTGTCAACTTTAAGTCGATGTCAATACCTCCAAGTTTCGAATCCCCGTTCATTGCCAAAAATGTAATCTTCGAATTTTTAAGTTGAGCTACAAGTTGTGTCCAAAGTTCCTCCTCCAAAGTCGAAGGTCAAGAATATTCCTTCATTAATTTCAGTTGGCATTTTAGGGTATCCAGAAGGCACTTTTGTGTCTTTTTTGGTGACATCATTTTCAATGTTAAATGCGTGGTTTCGAATGCTATAGAAATAGAAGGCAGCAGTTGGTTCCGGGATTAATTTGACGACATCGATTCCAGCGTATTGAGCAGCCCTTAAAGTGGCTTCCTTTTGTGCATCATTAAACGAAACGGGGCAGCACAACACGGCACGAATATTAATTTCTTTGACTCCCGTTTTATGGATGAGTTGTTTCTTTAAATTTGAAAAAACAAAAGCAGATATTTCTTCGGGGTAAAAGGAGTATTGTTTGCCGTTGTAAACTACTGGAATTGTAATTCGGTTGTGGCTCTCTTTGTCAATTTTGTATGAAAGTTCCTTACAAATTGTTTTAATAGCAGGATCATCATAAGTCAGACCAATGAACCTCTTGACTTCACCAATGACGTTTGCATTTTCCACAGATACGCCTATCGGGGTCTGAGTAAAATTGACTGTCGAAGCCGATAATGAACTACTAATACCAAAATCAAGCATAGTAACACATTGTGTATTATTGTCAGAGTAACTCAAACTTGAAAATGTGGTACCCAAATCAATGCCAACATATAGATCTTTGTTTTTTGTAGACATTAATGGTTTTAATTGATTTCATAACCTTTTTATAATATGTAATGATTTTTTTATATTTGAAAAACATAATATCACAATAAACATCATATTTCATTATTTTGTTTTAATTTACAAACAACCCTTTATTGCTCTTTTTAACACTTTTTTTAAATTTGTCCCAAAACTGTTTAAATAATTTGCAATTAATACTACAGTTGGGTAAATTAACCTTAGCCCAAGAAATGTACTTTAGCCCATCTATTTTTAATTTTACTGGGTAAGTACTTGTCATTTTCTTTGAAAACGTGGGTTTTTAATTCAAAAAATCGAAAAAACGTTTATTTCAGAAAATAAACCTTAGCCCCAAAATATGCCGCAAGTAATAAAACGGGAAAACCACCCATTTGTTTTTAAAACTCAAGTTTATTTGTTGAACTATTAACTAAAAAACACAGAAAAAGTCGAATTATAACACGAATGTATCATTTAAGCACAACACAAAGTTTGTTTGAAATGCCCAATACTGAATATTTATGTAAATTTGTATTTAATGTTTCTTCTAACATTTTTAGACTTTCGTCGGTCACTTCCCGTACTCTAACAAGTGTGGTTGTTGATTTCGGAGGCGTTAACTTCTCCAATTCTTCAGGTGTTGGCTTGACTGTTGTTGTGTTCATGAAAATTCTCGCAGACCTTATGTCTACATATACTCGATTGTTTAAACCTTCAGTAACAACAACGAAACCAGCTCGCGCAAAAGAAGATTCAACGTTCTTTCTGGTTGCTTTTTCTTCGATAACTCTCATCACTTTCATGAGATGTCCGGTAATGACACTCCCCCTTTCTGCTCTTTGTTGTGTTGTTGCTTTTTTAGCAAGTGGATCATCTAATTGTTTGACCCATTCATCAATCAATGAATCAAAAATGCCAAAACCACTTCCTTCGACTTCTCGAATTTGGCTAGAAGAGACAAAAGCACTGGTTGGTTGTTCACATTTTGTGGTTTCTATTATATTTGTCGTGTTTTTAAATATCGGTGTTGAACTACTACTACATTTTTTGACGACTCCAAATAAACAAAGGTCGAGAGGTTGACAAATATGGCTCGAATGTGGTTCGAAAAAATGAAACAATATATAATTATCAAGAAAAATTTGACGTAAGTTGTCATCAATATTGGCAGTGAAATTGTCCATTAAAATTACAACAATTTCATAAAATTGATATCCCAAAGATGCTCTTCGGTTCACGACATATGGCAAAATTGTATTATACATCCAATTCTTAAAAATGAGTCGATTAACAAATCCAGTCTTTGAAGAATAAATATCCAAATATGGGTATTTTGCATAAACCAACTGATCAACAAAAACGTTTGGTACAACGGCTGCTGGAACACAAAACAAACCATCTGCGGATATGCAAGCTATAATTGTACTTCTCTTCGAAGCTCTGGGTATATTGACTTTAACATTGGAAACTCCTTTAGTAAAGACTGTTACATTATGTTTGTCGGACCATTCATTGAATCCAATCTCATCAATGTTAAACAGTAATGACGAATATATACCATTAAATTTATCAGAAAAAGCTATGTAATTTAATAAAATATTTTTATAATTTGTTAATACCCTTTCCATTTCTACGGGTTTTGCAATTTTAGTATTGTACCCATGGTATTTTTTAATGTGTGATATGATTCCTTTTCTTGTCATTTCAAACATACAATCAACGGACTGGCAGACAGAATCAATCAAAGTTGGAGTAACGCTTAGATGTCTTGATTCGCAATAGTTAAAAAGTGCAGATATTGCGGTGTCCATTTCTTCTAATATTTTTGTAAAATGTTTCGGTTCTGTAGTCTCTTGTTTTAAATGAATTGAAACTGCTCCTTTTTGGATTCCAAAGAGAGATCCAATTATAACATTGGGTTGTTTCTTTTGTCTTTTTATATATTTGATTTGTTCAATCATTGATTTATACTGATACAAGTTTGAATCCACTAGTAAATCATTCACCAACTTCACGGCATTTTCTTTTGTTTCTTTTGTTATTAATTTTTTTTCATATAGAAATTTGACATTTTTCATCATTTGATTATTGGAGATTGCTTGTTTTCTTTTGGTTTTTGTTGGGGGAACAGTGAACGGTTTAACAATTTGGTTTTCTTTGACAGTTTTCTTTATTGCATCAAAGAATGTTTCTGGTTCAACACTTTGCATTTGAGTATTGTAGTTCTTATATTTTTAGATATTGAAATCATTAACTAAAAAAAATATTAATTGTATTTTTATATAGTTAATTTGTTTAATAAAACGATGGTATATATATAGTTTTGTTTGGGCTAAGGAACAATTACCCGGCTAAAGTTTGTTTACCCAACTGTAGAGTAATTCTCTAAACGTTGTCCTTTCCTAAACGTTGTCTCTCAGTTTTTAGATATTAATAACTGGAAAGTATCGGGAAATTTTTCAAAACCCCAGAAAATCATTGTTTCAGTTTGTTTTACCGTTTTACATGATTTATTACCTGATTCCCAATTTTTTATAGAATTTTTTGTGTATTTTTTTGCA